CACTGAACACTTCACTGAATCAGGACACCACTTGTTAAAGGGTTTTGTAGCAAGTCTCAGACCAAAAAGGATAAATTCTTAGAAGCAAATCTGTCAACCTGGTTTTTAATTAAATACATACAATGAAATACATTAAAACCTTATAAACTTTTACTTTGCTGATTCACAGAGATCTTTTAGGGAAAGGGCATGAGGAAATTTACTTTTGACTATTCTTGGGAAGAGAGGGTTGCTGTTAGTATGATGAGCGCTGACTACAGCAAACACACTCCCTGTGCTGGAGGACATTCTAAATTTTCAAGTTTGCACAGCCACTGAGAAGTCTCATTCACATAAAACAATCAGTATGCTAATTACACAAGATTCTCTGTTCACAGAACACTTGAAACACTAGCACCTTGTTAGCTAACCGTTAAAATCTGCTGAAGCTGTAAGCATCAAGAGAATAGTTTCTGTAACTTAGAAAGCACTGGTTAGTTGGTTCTTTTCCATTTTCTTTGAATTGCAGTTATATGTTGAAATATAAGAGCCACTTACTTTTTCTCTTAAATTATTCTCCATGCGGGAATTAGAGATTCTGAAAGAGTCGAGGTAACATGTGAAGAACTAAAGGAGAAATATGGAGAGGAGACAAAAGGCTCTGGTCTTACCCAGTCAGCTGGATTCTCTTTTGCTTCTTAAAAATCCATTCCAGGAATCCAGCCTTTCTCACTACACACACACACACACACACACACACACACACACACACAAACACAAAACCCTTGTGTGAGGAAAAAAGAAGTTGCCTCATTGCCTCTCGAATTTTATTCCCAAACTTTGCTTCATAGATCTAAGGAGGGTCCTAGATTGCCTAATAGAATTCCCACTCCCCTTTTCCATCTAGAAAGCTTCATTATTTAAACCTCTGTATGTTTGGAGGTTCCACAGAGACAAGCACTGTAGTCTCTTGTTGGGTGGCCAGAAGCAGTTTTATTTAATTAAATAAATCCAGTTAATACTTAAATTACTTAAATAATTAAATAAACATTTAACCCATAAAGCACAATGAGAAGGAAGGGGTGGAAATAGAAGTGAGTCCAGCGAAAGCTCTGGAGACCAGCCACCAGCTTCCCCCCAAACACCTGCCCTGACCTGGTTGGTAAGATCCTACTGAGGAACCTCCGGACCCTCAGAGAATCACACAGTCCCTCCAGACTCTGTGCTCAGTGGCCTTCTGTGCTGGAACCAGGTTGCCTGGTTTTAATGAGAGAGAATCCCTATCCTACCATGAAGTCCAGGATGTGGGCCACAAGACAGGCTCCTAAGAGCATAATTCTGCCCCCACAACAGCTCATTTCTGTGAGGAAAGGAAGAGGCAATGTGAAAATAGTGGACACCATCTTTCACTCAACCTCCTATCTACTAGAGCCAGGCCCTGGGAATTACAAAGGTGACTAACGTCCTCAGAACTTAATGTCTAGCTGGACGTTGGCAAAGATTCTCTGCTTGACCAATCTTCAGTCAGGCTCCTAACCCTTCTTTTAGACCCATGTGTGTTCTTCCATATAAAAAACAATTTTAGCCACGAATTCTGCTAAATCAGTATAGCAAAAGTCCCCCACCCCCACAATCACTGCGGATATCTGATCAGGTTCCTTATTCCCCGCCTCCCCACCCTCACACCTGTGATGTCTGATCATGCAGGCTTGTCTTCAGCAAGAGTTGTTAGGTTTAGTGAGTCTCCCTGGTCTTGATGTTACTCTTAGTAATTTTATATCCACTGACCATCCCCCTTAACATGAATTCTTACTTACCCATGCTGTATTCAGAGTTGAGCCCAGTGTCTCTCCCTCACTGCAGAATCCCATTGCTGTGGTTCCTATACTTATCACAATGGTCCTGAATAAAGTCTTCCTTATTATGATTTAATAAATATCATTGAGTAATTTTTTTCTTTAATGACATACAGATATTTGGGCTAATGCTGGGTTATAGCTGTCCAAGAAGTAAAAAGTTGAACCTCATAGTGAATTGCAACCAGCTGAATGTGTCAAAGGAGCTGTTAGTTCTTTGTGGTGGTAAAAGAAGGAAGGTAACACACTGGATTAAAAGGTTGTTACGATGAACAACTGTGTTTTCAACTACAAGGAATCCTGGATAATGGTCAATCCAAATGATGTGAGTGTAATATAGAACTAACAACTTATCAATTACCAAAAAAAAAAAAAAAAAAAAAAAAAAAAATGGAGAAAACTAGAGCGGACTTAATCAGTGTTCTTTGAAAATTTTTTCTTTTCTACTAAAACCAGTGTTCAGAAAAACATGATGCATTATTTGATGGGAGTTAAGAATATGGGAATCATCAGGCTTGGTGGTGCATGGCATCTATAATCCCAGCGATTAGGGGTCTGAAGCAGGAAGATCACAAGTTCAAGGCCAGCCTGGGCAGTTTAGTGAGATCCTGCCTCAAAAATAGGTTGGGGGTGCAGCTCAGAGGTAAAGTACTCCTGGGTTCAGCCCCCAGTACCACAAACAAAAAGGAAATCATGGGCATGGGTTTCTTTTTGAAGGAAGACAACTTTGGAAATGCATATATACACATGGTTGGAGAGTTTTGGTTAGTATTGATTACAGAAGATGGACTGGCAGAAGAACTATTTCAAAACTAGTTAGTAGAAATAGAACCATGATACACGAGTTAAATCAGGGGATTAGTAGAGTTTAGTAAGACACTGGAGAACAGATAAAGAAGATGCTGCTGCGAAATATTGTCAACATTGTGAGGCCCAGAACAGGGTTGGGGTTTGTCCAGATGGAGCTGAGGGCATCACCGAGGCCAAAAAAGTTTTCATTACAGGCACCCACCAATTAGGTAATGAATAAGGAGAAAACTCAACACGTAGTTGAAGCAGATGGTGACCTGAGGTCAATCCCTAGTCTAATTAGCTTCCACTTCTGGTAAACATCTGAAGTGGATTTTGGAAAATGTGTGCACCAAGGACAAAGAATTGGATCACTAAGGCCAAGAACTTGCATTATTCACCAAATAACTGTACTGAATGTTTGTGTTCCTACAAATTCCTGGGGACCAGAAACCTGATATATTTCCCAATACAGAACCTGATCTTCTCCCCAACTCTTCCACTGCATGTTTTGGCCCCATGAAAACAGTCTGCTTCGACAGCTTACCCTTCCTAGCCCAATTGCACCAACATTATCCTGGCCTTCTGGGTGCCTCTGGTGCTTGGTCAGGCCCCACTTCCTGTAGATGTTACCTGTATGATGGAACAGATCTTAAGCGATGGGTGCTATAGATGTTAGCAAAGAGGAAAGGGCAGTGCCTTCAGGCCCAGAAAACCAGCTCCTCTTCCTCCTTCCTCTGTCGTTGGCTCCGTGGGGAATCAACAATCTCCAAGCAAACTCAGCACTTGAGTATCTCCACATGAAGTCTTAGCTTTTGCTTTCTTTTCCACATACTACCCCTCAACCCCTTCTCCTGCCCTAATCCCACCCCACGTGCTTCAGACCACTCAGAAGCTTCATTTTAGGTAACTCCAAAATATGTCTGTGACCTCTAACAATACTTTGCATAAACAGGGCACTGAGTTTGTTGCTATTATTGTTTTAAATAGACTTTGTACTTTAGAGCAGTTCTAGGTTCACAGCAAAATCAAACATGAAATAGAATCTGCAAATACCACCCCACTATGATCTCCTCAACTAACACCTCCCACCAGATTGGTAATTTGTTATAATAGATCAACCTACATTGACACATCATCATTATCCAAAGTCTAGGGTTTATAACAATACTCCTAGCGTTGCACGTTATATGAGTCTGGGTCAATTTATAGTTGCAACTATACAGTTATGTGCCCTTTCAGATTGGCTTCTGTCATTTGGTAACATGATTGTTTCCTCTGTGTCTTTCACAGCTTGGTGGCTCATTTCTTTTTAGGGCTGAATAATATTCTACCCGTTTGTTTACCAAATACTGAAAGACATCTCAGTTAATTTTTTAGTATTGTCAATTATGAATAAAGCTGCTATAACATCCATGTGTAGGTTTTTGTGTGGATTTAAGTTTTCAACTCATTTAGGTAAACACCCAGGAATGCAACTGATGGATATATTTCAATAAACTGCAATGTCTCCCAAAGCGCCTCTATCATTTTTTCATCCCTGCCAGCAGTGAGAGAGTGTTGTGGTCGCTGTACATTCTAGTCAACTATTTGGTGTTTGGAATTTAGTTTAGGAATTCTGATACCTAGTGGTAGCTCACTGTTGTTGTTTTTTTTTCTCATTGTTATGACCAAATAAATGTTTTCCACTGCAGAGCCAAACTATTGAATACCACTGAGTTGTAATGGTGTGCTTTGATCATATCTACTGATTCTTCATCTCATTTCTAATTTTTCCCCCATTGGTACTATGTTCCTTTTCCATGTCTGTCAGGGTTTTGTTTTGTTTTTTTTCCTATGAAGGTATTCTTTTTTTTTTTTTTTTTAAACAATTACTCTTCACTCTGTGGATTATTTATAATATATATGTATATGTATACATATACATTATATATATATATTAGTTGTTGATGTGCCTTTATTTTTTACTTATTTACATGTGGTGTTGAGGATCGAACTCAGTGCCTCACACATGCCAGGCAAGTGCTCTGCCACTAAGCTACAACCCCAGCCCCTCTCTTATGTTTTTAAATTTTGCCAAGCAAAAGTAGGTAATCTTTTTTTTCCCCCATTATTAAAAATTTACTTTAGCTGGGTATGGTGGCACATGATTGTAATCCCACCTACTCAAAGATCTGAGACTGAAGGATCAAGTTCAAGTGTTCAAGTCCAGCCTGGACAACTTGGTGAAACCCTGTCTCAAAAAAAGGGGTGGGGGATGGGGATGTAGCTTGTTGAGTGGTAGAGCACCTGTGGGTTCAATCTCCAGTATCGGGGGAAAGAAATCTCATTTACAAACATGTCTTAAGACTTTCTCTTTTTTCCTTTTAAATATAGATAAATGCAGAAGGAACGCCAGAAGAAGTTTTTCTTCAGCTCTGCACAGCTATTGACTCTATTTTCTGAAGGCGAAAAATGCATGTATGTTCAGAATGGAGACAAAAAAACATTAGAAGGTTCATCTTTTAACATGATGTTTCAAGTTAAGCCTTGTGTCCCCCCAAATCGTGACATCACTGTTTGCTTCCCAGCTAGAGTCGTGTGAGAGGTGTCTGGAAACCATGCACGGTGTACTTGGGACCATCAGCCTCTTCACACACACAGCTGCCCTTGCTCCAGCACACACACCTATCATGTAGGCTGCACCTCAGGGCAAGGTCAGGTCGTGACAGTGCAGTGCAGGGACTTGTCTGATCAGTTGGTTCTAGTCTCATCAGAAAAGGAGCCAGCATCCCTCACTCCCCATCACATCTTCCTCCTTCTCCCAAAAATTTATATGCCGTTCCCTGATGAAGGTCCTCAACAAGGAGGCAGGCTTGGGCACACCTTCCTCTGGTAGCTGGCTGATTCTTCACTTCCCATCCACTAGTGGCTCAAAACCAGAGTGGGATGATTAGACAATGCCATGTATAGCATATATAGAAGCATCAAGAGAGTAAAATTTGATTGAAATTTCTTAAAATGTGAAATTGTATAGCTTTTCCAAGATGGCAAAAACCCAGGCCAAGGGTAATCAATGTTACCCATCAGTAACACTGGTTATTTATTCTCTATTTAGCTACTTGGAATATTTTCAAAATGGCTAAGAGAACAAATCTGATCGCTGTGTAATCTCAACTCCTCTGTACACGGTGGTGGTACATTTCAGCAATTATAAATTAACAATTTAAAATTATAAACTGACCAAAGTAAAAGCATCGGATGATTTGTTATTCATTTCTTAGACAAATAACCATCTTATAATTTTGATTCCAAGTTATCATTCACTTGCAGACAAGTAAAAAATACAGTAACAATAACAAAAACTGACATGGGTGGGAGGAGCATGTTAATAAGCAGGTGTCTTACAGATTCCAATGTTGTATTTGTTTCATGTGGGCCCTTTCCTGGGGTTTGCAAACCTTGCATCAAATCAGTGAAGTTCAGGTTCTCTTTTGTGCGCAGTTGTCAAATCAGAGCTTCTATATTCTATTGAAATAACTGTATCTTCCACTCAGTCACTACAAAAGACCAGAGTTTCAGTTTGCATGATTTTTTTTTTCTTCAATGGTTGTGCAAATAAGGATCCATTTCGACAAAATTGTATTTTTAAAGTCATTTTTTTCTTGAAATGGATATGTACAAATAAAATAAATGGAAGACAGGATAACTCTTTCTCTATTTATTTAACTCACATCATTCTGGAAAGCATTTGAAGCCTTATTCCAAACAGAATTAGAAGCAAATACAGTAATAGCTGAGATTTATGATCCGTTTATATGGTTTTAATTTTGGCCACAGACCAGATTTGAGCTATTACAAAGAGAATACTTAACGTATTCATGATACATGGTAATTTTCATATTTCCTTTTTCTCTAACATTCGTTCTTAAACAGAAATGTCAGTGTTTGCTAGAAGAAATTAAATTTCTTTGGTTACAATTACACTTCTATTAACAGAAAGGGTGCAGCATGTTCCCACAACTCACACAATTGTCAAATACTTTATTACCGCCCCAAGTTGTCACACTTCTATAGGGAAGCCTAAAGAGTATTTGAGTGAAGGAGAAAAAATTACAGAATGAAAGTTATCAGTTGTGCCAGAAAACATAAAATGACTCTTTGTAGGGATTAACATTCTTCCAAAACATACCATAGATTGGCAAACACAGTCCGTGCCCACCAGAGCTTTGACAGTGTGGGTAAGGGAAATGAGACAGCAAAGAGGCAGACAGGCCCAGCCAATGGCTTTTATGGCTATAGTCGGTAGCCATTATGAAAAATCAGCAGAGGTAAATGGCTCTACCCCTGAAAAGTACCTGGTCTATTACTAAAACACATTTTACTTGTTTGAATGGCTTGAAAAGTCATCATTACCTTAAAGTCATAGGATTTTAAAACAGGAAAGGACCTCTGCCTAGCAAAAGGCCATATATGTATGTGGACACATCCAAACACAATCCAAACTCCTTTATGATGAGCTATACTCAAGGCCACACCTGAACTGACCTTGCACCCTCTCTGACCCTATCAGCTACTACTTTCCTCCTGCTCATTTGGCTCAAGCTTCACTGGCCATCACAATGCTGCTGAGCACACCAAGCTCCTTCCTGGCTCAGAGCCCTCCCTTGCTGTCCTTCTGCCTCTTCCCACAGATCATCCCCACAGCAAAGTTTCTCACTCTATTCAGGTCTCTGACATTCTAATATACTCTTGTCATGGAAGCTTTCCTTGATTATTTTATATAAAATGGCAATGTTCCACATCCTCCCATTATTATTTTTCTTCAAGCCGTATTTTTCTTCACAGCATGTATCTCTGCTATAAGTACTTTTTAAAACTTTGTTTATTGCTTTTCTTCTACATTAGTCTAGAAGCTTCATAAGGGCAGGGCTTTGTTTCCCCAGTCCCACACAGGACTAAAGGGCTAACATACTTAACATTCTCTGTACCTCCAGTTTGCTCATCCGTGCAGTGGAGATCATGATAGTGACCAACCTCAGAGAGGAGTTGTGGGGATCAAACAAGTTACTGGTTCCTAGAGCTCAATGAAACATGGCTGTCAACAGAGTGCTTCACTTCCACAACTGGACTAAGACCCAGAAGTTCCACTCTAGTGTCTTTCCACTATTCTCACAAAACATTACAGACTGGGAATCCAGAGAGATGACCTAACTGAGATGGCATATTGGACTAAAACCTTCTTAGCCATTCAGGGTAGAACCATATCCTCCAGATAAGGGAGGAGGCAACTCCCCTGTCTTCTCAGGTCCTGTGAAGGGCTCTCCTGATACAAGCCCTGTAGGAATCAGGCACACTCAGGTATTGGGGCTGACTCCTAACTTCCTAGAGAAAAAAAAAAATGTAGCTCACCAAAACTTTGGTCATACAACCAACAAATATTTATGGAGAATCTTTAAAAGTCAGGCCCTACACACACAAAAAGACATGGATGGTCTCTGCTCTCATGAAGCTAAATATGACACAACTTCCAAAAATCCACTAATCTGCTATATAAACTAAGAAAAAAAAAGGTTTTATTTCTGGGATCATATGAACAGCAGTACATTTTCATCAAGGTAAACAATTTCAAACAAATACTTTATGGCCTGGAAAGAACAATGCCTCCATAATCTTATGGAAAAAAAAAAAAAAGCTACTTATAATCTGGAGACTCCCAGTTTCATCCAGTGCACCTAGAATAATGGACTTCCAACCTATCATCCACAGTAAGAAACAGTTTATACAGAACATCCACACTTCTTATAACTGAAAAATAAATTCCACAAAACAATTAACATGTGATACTATTTTCCCTATTTTTAAAAAATGTTCCTCACTCCTCAGTAAATTGTTATGTTCTGTGATTTAATTTAAACAAAAGGGGAAGGGGAGAATATGGTCAAAGTATACTACTAAGTAAGTGAGAAGCACCCAACATGCATATGTGTTTTCCTAATTCACAAGAGCAAAATCTTTTAGTGCTTTCCCCCCATCCATGCATAGGCTTCTCTCCTGTGCTACAAACCCAGACATATGCTCAGGTTTATATTCCAGCTACCACATAAACCAGCCCCACACAGCTCCACTCCTATTACTTCAGGGATACCTGACACAACAGGAATATTCTTACTCAGGACAGTGAGGCAGACACTGAGTCTGGACTGATCTGTCTAGGTTAAAGTCAAGCATCACCACTTTATTAATTATATGACCTTGGGCAAGTTATTTAATGGCTCTCTGGCTAGACAGGATACTAAATGAACCTGTCTCATTGGATTGCAGAGAATTAAATTAGTTAGTATATACTTGCTTGGCACATAGTAAGTGCTATGTCAGTGTTTGTCACACCAAAGGAAACCTCTTCTGCCTAAACCTTATAGCAGTGATTTTAGGCATCATTAAAAGTTTCTTCAGTCATTAGTAATTAATTTGAGCATAATATATACCAGGAAACAGATCTGACCTACTGAGAACTACTTAATAAGCAATATTTTAATAAGTAGATCTCCAATCTACTTGTTTTTTAGTAGCCAATATTTCTGTGTAGACAGATGGAAGTCTACGTGCAAATGACAGCCCTGCCTATTCCTGCAACCCTCAACAACAAAACACAACCTTTGCTACTACTATCCTTTAGAACCTCTTAAAGCCAGGAGGACTAATTGCTTTGAGCTGAAGAATTCAAAATAAACACACCTTCTGTTCAGGCAGAAAATAATCCTCTTTAACACCAAAAAGTCTTCTTTGCCCTTGAAAATGCATTCAACTGAGTTATTTTGTCTATTCTATTTATATAACAATTATACCACTCATTGCCCTCTTCCAAAGAACAGTTCATTCTTCATGGAATTTTGAATAGATCTGAATGGTTTTCCAAAACTAACTGGTACTATTTCTATACAAACACAGAAGTTACAGAATTTCCCAACAAGTGCTACTGTCTTGCCTAACTACAGGTTGAAGGCAGATCTTCTGGCATATGCACATAACATTTAATATAAAAATGTCTAGAATGCTAACAATTCCCCTCTTCCACTCACTAATAATTTCAGGGTGAGAAGTTCATCAATTTTTCTTTCTGATTATGATATATTGTATCAACATCACCAGTGATCCTTAATTAATATATTACTTTAAAATTCTCATATTTCTATATTTAAAATTTCATTACTTAATTTAAAAAACTTAGGGTAGATTTTTAATACCCTGCTATGTATTGAAGAGAGCTAATAAATAACATTCCTTAGATTTAAAAATACAAAAAACCAAGCAACTCCAAAAATTAGATCTGGAATAATATACTTAATCCATCTTGGAATATTTATACTATCTTTTCCCAGTTAACAATACTTTCCAGGAAACCACCTGTTTAAATCCACGGGACTTATTTTCACCAAAAACAATTAAGAGTAGAGCTGGGGATGTGGCTTAGTGGTAGAGCACTTGCACAGCATGCATGAGGGCCTTGGGTTCAATCCCCAGCATCAGGATGGCGGGAAGCATCTAGAATAAAATATCTCAACTTTTCACATCTAGGCATTTGTAACTGCCTTTTTCTTTAACCACAGTCTCTCTTTCCTTTTTGTAAACACTTTAACTGTTTTAGCACATACTAATTGAAAAGACTACCATCTTTTACAGATGTCAAGTATTTTCCCTAATATATTCTTTACTCTTTATAAAGGACAGAAAAAAACCAGTTTTCTGGTTTTAACATTGGTAAAAAATCCAAATCTAACCAAAAGGAAATCACAACAAGCATTCTATAATATAAACAGACAGTATCCACATAGTTTATTTCTCACAGTTCTCCTGACAAATGAACATTATTCAAGAACATACTGTATACACAGATAAGAAGAAACATACAAAATGTTTTAAATGATGCACAACAAAATCCAGCAGTATAAAAGAATGCATGTGAACTCTTGCTCACTGCGCAGACTAAATTTAATCACTTGTTTAAATAGTAATAAAAATACAATCTTTTATGGATCTTGTGCAGACTACAAAAGAGGGAAATTATTACCATATATATGATTTTTATATTAGGCAGTTTTCTTTGATGAGTTGTACAGACAACTCCAAATACAGAGGCAGAAGGCTGTGTATTTTAAAGGAATTAATGTTGTGAATTAGAGACTTTACACAGTTACTACCACTGGCACTTTTCACCATAGTTTGTACACATCACATGATCATCTTATATAACATTACATTTAAAAAATATATCTGAGTGACAATTTCATAACATTCACACACCATGAGCTGGTTAAGGAAGCAATGCCACAATTGCCTCCTGTAGTGCTTCACTGTTGGTAATAAGGACAATTCATTGTGGTTAAAAGAAATTAGATATCAATATGGGGAAGCAGCTCTGATTTACTAAAGGCCAACAATGGCCACCACTGGGACAGTGAGTTCTTTTAGAGCATAGATCCTAGAAGCAAACACCATCATTGGTTAAAACTTTGTCTAAAGAAGTCAGTTTCTGTGCTGAAAACTATTTTCACAAAACTGAAAGCTACTTAACTGTTTTAATATAAATACTTTGTCTTCTCATTATCATATTTATGACCAAGTTCTTTGAAACCTTTGGAATTTACTCTTGCTTTAATGTGTGCTCTCATTTCCATCTCACCCATTTAAGATCGCCACCTAAAAGGCTTTTAGTGGTGAAAAATTCACCAGGGAAACCCTTTGCTCACCAGGAATGTTCAACTGCTGAACGTGATCTAGAGCCACAACAGTGCAGAGCTGTACTTGACGAGAACACTCAGGAAGCTCCCATGCTGTGAGTGTCATTTTAGGGAAAGCAGAGAATCTTTCCAAACTGTGCACATAATTAACAATGATACCATTGCTATGTGTTGAAGAGGACTAGTAAATGATGTTCTCTTCCATGTCATCTGTTTGCTGGAAAGTAGTTTGGATCAAGGTAATTATAACTGGTGCCCTGGGACACACAGTAGTCTCTGTCTAAGAATGTCTCTGACCTATAAATAGGTTCTAATTGGTGATCTTCCTTGTGAATATCTGTTTCATGTAGGCTGAAAAGAAAAAAAAAAAAACACACACACAAACTCATCATTACATGGCACTGGATGCATTTTGCCTACATACTACAAAACTTTTTCAGTTCTACCTACTTAAATCCATTCAGCTATTAAAATGTTTAATAGAAAGCTATTTGAGATGGTACAATTAAAATGTTTTAATTGCTTAGAACAAAATTCAACAAAAGTATGGTTACTGTTTTAAAGAAGTTTGGAGATCAAATTTACTGGCTGAGAAGACGTTTACTTGCCACAATTTAAAGTAAAAAATGAAGAAAACACTTACCAATCTGAACAAGAGTCACAGAAGTCCAAAGACATTTCTGGAGGACAATCCTGGCAATGCCATCGAACACCCTGGATAGGTTCTATGCCACAGTTATCACACTATAACAGATTCAGTGGGAAAAAGTATTAAGCTATATTGCTTTACCTCTTTCATTTTCTGCTGGGAAAACATGACAATGCACATAGATGCCTTCTCTTCATCCCCTACCCACTAGAAAGTTGCCGAATGTAGTAGAGGTAAGCAGCTGGGCACATGGTGCATGCCTGTAATCTCAGCTACTTGGAAGTATGAAGCAGGAAGATTGCCAAAGTCAAGGCCAGCCTCAGAAACTTATTGAGATCCTGTCTCAAAAATAAAAAATTTAAAAAGGGCTGGGAATGTAGCTCACTGGTAGAATGCCCCTGGGTTCAATCCCCAGTACTGGGGTGGAGGTTGCTAGTGGATGCAAACTAGGTAAAGGGTCTGTCTATCCACTTGAGAGCAAGATACAGGTGGGTGCCAGGTATACCAGCACATGCCTCCAACTACTCCAGAGGCTGAGGCAGAGGTTCAAAAGTTCAAAGCCAGCCTTTCTCTAAAAATAAAATACAAAAAGGGCTGGGGGTATGGCTCAGTGGTAGAGGCCCCCTGGTTTCAATCCCAAATACTCCCAACCCAGCCAAAAAAACAAAACAAAACAACAACAACAAAAAAAAAACCCACAGGTGAGTGAGAGGAGCATTATAAGGAATAACTTTCAATGTACTATAATTTAAGAAGTTTTTAATCATCTCAAACTCAGCCATTTTGTTCTTAGTAACCATTATTTTAAAGGTACCTCAGACCAGTGTGTGATGATTGTGAACACTGACTTCATTCCATAGTTAAAATTATCCCCAAACTATCCAGACTGTTTTAACAGTACTACCATAACTACCATAACTCAGGCAACTACAAAATGTTCTCTGAATTCTTTATCTTATTGAAGCCCAAAAGAACCTGATAACCAATGCTCATCATGACTAAGAGGCAGATTCAGCTCTTTCTCAATGTGGTGGCACTGTGATAGCCCTCAGTACTTTCCGTGGAATTTTGAAAAGCCAAGTCAATCATGTTTTTAGATTCTATGATCATCAGGCCAACTATGGTGGCTAACAGACTGGCCAACAAGTCGTGGCTGGGTCCTAGAACAAAATAATGACAAGTAGCAAGTTTCCTCTCAAAAAGGCAAGAGCTGCCAGTTAGGAAAACCTGTAACGGAGGATCAAGAGGGAAAATCATTTAATATAGTATAGCTGATGGCTACTCCAGAGACAGAAGTATAATTTTGTTTTCAACTTAGGTGATCAGTCACAGTGTATACCAAGACTTTAAGTATACTGCCAACAGAAATACCAACATCAAGTTTATGGTTTCATTACTTCCTCTAATTTTACCAAATACAGTCAATTATAATGCTGAAAGTTTTCTCAAACCTGTCAATCTCTCCCTCTTTCCACAGGTTATTCTTTTATCTAAATTACTAAAGAAATCTTTAAGCTATCTCCTTGCCTCCAGTCTTGCCTTCTTCTAATTCATTCTCCATAAAATATGACCAGGATGATCTTTCCCTCCCCCTCACTTACATATATTTTTAATTACATGAATAAGACACACAAATAGATTATTGTCTTACAAAATTTAAAAACAGTCAGTGACTATTTCTCAAAGCCCACTGTATTCCTAAAATTATCAAAGCTAAGAGTTAAGTCATTTAAATTATTTTTCTCACATTACTCTCTACTTAAAAGTCTTTCAGTAACTCCCCAACCTCTTAGGATGGTTTAAACTCCTTGGCAAAACTTCCCCAAAGCCTCTGACTACTCTCCAATATGCATTCTTAGTCGTGTTCAATTATTTCATTTGTTCAGCATCTTTAAATTCTTTATGAGAATGAAAACAGCATAAGGGCAGCAACTGAGTCCCCCTTGTATATTCCTGAATCTCTAGCACTTAGCAAAGTGCCTGGAACATAATGGGCATTTCCAAATATCGTGGAATGAGTGAATGTATTTCAATTAGCTTCTCCAAAAAAAAAAAAAGCTGAGGTAACTCAACCTGAAGTGAAGGGAGGGCAGGGGATTCTGGTCCATGAACAGCAGCAACAAAAAGATAGACAAAAACTTCTCATATTCTACCTCAACTTATAGACAACTGTATGTTTTCTTCTCTACACTGAATCATAAGCCTCTTGACATCATGAACTGGGGCATACCACTTCTATAAAAGAATACGAGAGATAAACTGAACTAATAAGCTGAAATTTTCCCTGAATGCTTAGAGGTTTTAGATTTTTCCCACTCCAGAAACCACTTTAAGTATCTCTTATCAATAGTAAGAATTTACCTTGAAGCCTACATGTTGCACAAATCCACTTTCAGCTTGCATTTGCTGAAGTTTCTGCTTCTTTAACTTTTTAAACTGTAACAGTTCTTTATATTCAGGTAAATTCCTATACATGATAGGAATACTTTCTTCATCCTATTAAAAAATAGAACAAAATAGAAAACAAAAATGTTAGTTTGATAATTAAAATAAACAAGTGTAAGAAATACAGATATAAATTTTCTATTGATAAGATGTTTTCACTTTTAAGATACCTCATTGTAGATCAGTGCTGCTGTTAACAATATTTTGTAGAGGGCTTTTTAATGCAATACTGATGCTGACTACTTCATAATGTAGGAAGAAGGGGAACATGATATGATTCTACCCATGTCATACACTACGACAAACCTAATCCCATCTCTACGTATTCATGGCTTCTTATGATCTACTACTGAGAACACTACTCATTATCCTGAACAACTTCAACTTGCAAATACCCAATCCTCTACTTCTAGCCTCTATCCTTAAGTTCTACTACAATGACATTCATCTTCACCCTTTATAAGTCTCCCATTCTGAGAATCCTTAGACCTTGCTGTCAACTAGAAATGTTTTGCCTCCAAAATATTAAATTTAGATGTCTTACCTACAGTGTTACTTTCTACTTTTCTCAAACTCTCCTCCCAAATAGGCTGCCCCTGCCCTTTTAAACTTTACTAGAATTACACTCTGCCACCCATTCCTTTCCTTTGATCCCTAATAGCTGAGTCCATGGTCACCAATTGCTTAACTGCATTTCCAATTCACTGACCCCCAAGGTCCATTGATTTCCAATCCTGGACAACCTAACTCCTATCCCTTTCATTCCACCTGTTAGGTTATTATTAACTACCATGTTTATTTTCCCATCAAGGACACTGACGCTTATAAAAGCTGTAACACATGTCCAGAGTCATACAATTAATTAGTTGTAGAGTTGGATGATTTAAACCCAGAGTTTCTGACAACTTTAGCAGCTCAAGACAGAAATCTAAGACTTATTCTTATTTTTTTACTCCCTCCTATCTAATCCAACAACCTCTGTCACTACCTAATACTATCTAAAATTTCTCTCAAATCAGTCCTCTAGTATCCACTCCCTCCCCCCCTTCCCCCATCATTACTTAAATCTCCTAGTAATTTCCTAACTATGGACATCATAAAGTCCAAAGTCCTCAGCTGGATAAAAGATGATTTAGTTTCACACTTCACTACCTTATTTCTCTCTCTCATCCATTTCAAATTCTTATCAACTAAAGTTGTTAAATAATAGGTATTATCTATTTCACCACTCAGAAAGATAATCTAAGTAATAGTATATACTAACAAGTATGATGTGACCCAAATAATAACATAATTAAGAAATTTTATAATAAAATATATTAAATTCAGATGTTTAAAACAAATGAAGAGTACAAAAACTAAAGTTTTTAAGTTTGCATTTTAAATCTAAGGATTTGGCTATCTAGTCTAAGATTAAGAAAAGTTAAACCATCTCATACTCAGTTGAATAGCCACTATAAAAGGAAAGAAAATAACAAAAAGTAGGCAAGAATGTAAAATGTGTGTTGCAGCTGCCTGGAAAACAGTATGGTGGTTCCTCAAACATTAACAGAATTGCCATATGATCTAGCAATACCACTTATGGATACACATCTTAAAAAATTGAAAGCAAGAACTCAAACTGATATTTGTACACCCATGCTCATAGCAACATTATTCACAACAGCCAAAAGATGGAAGCAACCCAAGTATCCATCAAATGAATGGATAAACTGTGTTATGCACATAAAATGAATTATTATTTAGCCTTAAAAAAGAAAGAGGCCTGTGAGTGTAGTTCAATGCTAGAGCATTTGCCTAGCATGTGCAAGATCCTGGGTTCAATCTCTAGTACAAAGAAAAGGGGAAAGAAATTGTGGTACCTGCTGCAAAATGGATGAATTTTGAAGATATTATATTATGTAAGATATGTCATTCACAAGAGGGCAAATTTTGTATAAGTAAGTGCCCCTCAGTATCCACAGAGACTTGGTTTCAGGACCAACCAAAATCTAAAGATGCTCAAGTCCCTTATATTAAAAAAAAAAAAAAAAAAAAAAAAAAAGATGTAGTATTTATATATAACCTATGCATATCCTCCTATTTATACAAAATCTCTAGATTATTTATAATACTAATATAATGTAAATGCTAGGTAAGTAGTTGCATACTATATTGTTTTAGGGAATGGTAAGAGAAATGAGTCTCTATATGATAAATATAGACATAATTTTTCCCTCACAAATATTTTCAGTTTGAAGTTAGCTGAATCCACAGCTATAGAAGGTCATCTATTTGCCTCCATTTATCTGAGGTACCTAGAACAGTCAGTCAAATCCATGAAGACGAGAACTAGAATCAGTGAGGGTAAGCAAAAGCACAACGGTCTAAGCTGAATTTTAATAAAAAATACAAACTAACAGCCAGGCACTATGGAGCATGTCTATAATCTCAGCAACTCAGGAGGCTGAGGCAGGAGAATCACAAGTTTGAGGCCAGCCCCAGCAACTTAGCAAGACACTGTCTCTAAATAAAATTTAAAAAAACGGGGGCGGGGGGCTGGGGATATGGGGATGTGGCTTAGTGATTAAGAGCCCCTGGGTTTGATCCCCGGTACCAAAAAAAAAAAAAAAAATCCTTATGATTATGTTTTTCATCCTTAAACAAAAATGTAACATATTTCCCAGCTCTGTCCACTAAATTGACACTAAAAACAATAATTAACCCAGAAGCAAGTAATATTCCTCAAGTCAGGATATAGTCTCCAAATGCCATTTTCTAATAGAAGAAAGCAAGACTATCTGCATGTCTGAGGCAGCATATATACACGATGAGCTTAAATGTTCCTTGTTGAAACAGATTATAAGGAAGCTATCAAATGCTACTGGTCTTATCATAAGAACTCAGAAGCCAACTTGGATAGGCAACAAGTGACAAGAGATAGGCTAACCTGAGACAATAACATTACATATATTAAGTCCAATAGTTCAGAAAATTACAAATTTTTAAATAAATTTTATTAGTCATCTTTGGAACATAGAAGAGGATAAATTTGAACACAAGAAAATAAAGGCCAAATTTGAAAGGTATCCTGCCATTTCTATATGTACCTCAGTGTACCAAATAAGAGTTGATAGTAGGGTTTACTTTATAGAATATTCCATAAATACAAGATCAATTCTCAAGACCTCCTATCAGATTTACAGAAAATTCAAGGAACAGAGAAATAGGCTAAATGACACAAAAGAGATGCAATCAATAAAATCAACACAGGGCAAACTATCCAGTTCTCCAACAAAAATAATGTACAAGGACAAAAGAAAAAAGACTTATTAAGAAACTAAACTTTCTGCAATTTACTGTCTTTATTTAGATCTAAGTTCAGATAAATATTCTGAGATGACAGGGGAAATGGGAACACTCACTAATTTCATTATACAGAGAACCACTTTTTCCTTTTCTTTCTTTTCTTTTTTTTTTTTGGTACCAGAGATTGAACTCAGGGACATGCGACCACTGAGCTACATCCCCAGCCCTATTATCTTTTATTTTGAACTTGTTCCAAAATAATTCAGGCTGGAGTTGGGGTAGATGAAAAGCAGATTGCCAAAAGTTGTAACTATTTAAGTTGAGTGATAGGAGCATGTGGGTTTATTATACTGTTCATACTGTTCTCTTTTCTTATGTATATGTTTGAAATTTTCTTGTAAAAAGATTTAAAACACACTCTTTAAAAAAAAAATCACTTTAAATATGACTTGTTAGTTAGAAGAAATCAATATTCTCTGAAGAATAGGAATAATTGGAAAATCCTGATACTTTCATAGTGCACTCTAATCTGTATTATAATTGAACAGATAACTTACTGATGCTTCTTCAATAGCAGTGTTCATGTGGCTATGGAAACAGGATCGGTCATCATCTTCATCCATATACACTGGTGGTTCGTGTGAAGTCATGAAAGTGGAAGGTTTAAAGAGATGTTTATTAAGGGGGTGTTGTCGTCTGCTTGTTGAAGACTAGATGAGAAAACAAATTTTTAGATGAGATAAGAGAAAAGCATTAAAAGAATCAAAACTGTAAGTATTACTTCCAGCAACATCAGAAGGATTTCACTTCTGTCCTTTCACATACCCTTTTATATTATCTAGATTTTTAAAGCACCACTAGCCTTTACAAAAAAGAAAGAGAAAAAAAAAACCTATACCAGAAATGTAGGTGAAATCCCCAACAATGGAATAATTGACCACATGTTCAGTACTTAGCTTATATTTGTATCCTCAGCATTAATCACTTTTGCATTCAAATGTTGACTGCACTGAACTCCTCTTACAATCTTTGTGTAGTGGGGGCAGGGGGGAGTACTGGGGATTTAAACTGAAGGGTGACTATCTAGTAGAAGGAAAATTTCTATCACTAGATGAATGTATGAAAATAATTACCTTACACTGCTTATTTTATGCCAATATAATTTAATCCTCACAGCATTCCTATAAAGTACTTACTATTACCACCAATTGATATACAGGGAGGTTAAGTTTCTTGTTCAGTGTGTTGCAGCTACAGTGTTAGAACCAGGGTTACAAACTAGGCCTGTGCGGTGTCAAGAAACTTACTCTCCCCCACTGTGAGGACTGCCTTTCATGATCAATTGCACAAATATAAAGAACAATCTGAAAGAATAATATAAGCTACATGGAGAACAATCATTTCCCCCATTTTAAAATTTCAACTCTGACCACTGTAAAAAATTATTGTGATCACAGTTGTGCTAGTCATAGTTAAAATGTATGTTAACTTACAACACAGTACATCCAAACAAATGGACACATTTAGGTTTCTCCAGTATTCCTCTGGTTATCATCATCCAGATAACTGTAAAAGTTTAAGGTGCAAAACACGACACACCTATAAAGTTAGCTTAGAAATTATTCATGAAAATTAGAGCTGTCAGGGAGAACACTGGTTATCTAAAATTATAGAATAAACTCTTCACATCTAATAAGGGTAAATGCTTATTTGGGGGGGGGTTCCAAACTGTTTTAAACAACTGCCATATTGAAACAAGCCTCAAAAGCTTGGTAAAAATAACTTTTAAAAACTTGTAAAACATGAAGCTATATAGACATATTAAATTACATAAATAGTTCACTTCCATTAGGAAAGGCTACAAAACTGATATATTGATATACTCTTTAGTTTTTCTTTATGTGAAGAATGGCAGTGTTGGGGGAGGGGAAATATCCGAACAATTTAGGAAATAAAAGAAATTCAATTAGCTACTTTTCTTTTTTCCAATTACAACAAAAAGCTGGCTACAATTTAATCTACTATTCTGAACCAAAAAAAAAACAACAAACAAACAGTAGCTTTTTTTTTTTACCATAGAAAAACAGAAGGACTGAGAAGAAACAAAGCTCAGTGGTAGAGTGCTTGCTAGCATGTGTGAGGCCCTGGGCTCAATCCCTAGTTACACACACACACACACACACACACACACACACACGCACAACAGAAAAGAATTATGGAAAGGGCATGGTATCAGAAACAGTGAATAATGGTTCTCAGATTTATTAGCTACCTGACCAGACCAAAAGAAAAAAAGGTTATTACAGAATAATACCTGATCCAAGGGTCTCAAAAGTAAGAATAATTGCTACTTTTTTAGGGATGGTACCAGGGATTGAACTCAGGGGCATTCAGCCACTGAGCCATATCCCCAGTCCTATTTTGTATTTTATTTAGAGACAGGGTCACACTGAGTTGCTTAACATCTTGCTTTTGCTGAGGCTGGCTTTGAACTTGCAATCCTCCTGCCTCATCCTCTCTAGCAGCTAGGATTACAGGTGTGTGCTACCATGCCTGGCTAACTGCTACTTATTAACATTATTTTCAGTGAAGTGAAGGTAAGAATATTACTTACATTTCTACAATTGCAGTGATGATAAGTAAAATATCTTAACAAACATTTCTATTTTGAGATTTATGCACCAGAGCTACAAAATAAATTGTACAAACATCCTAAAAGCTTTAACCTCAAAGGCCTTTCTAATACAGTTTCAATATAAAGTTTTTCAAGTAGCACTCATTTGTATTACGTCCAAGAAAATAATGAAGAAGCATTAAGGCTCATTAATTTTTTTAAAGGAATCCTATTTTGCATTTATGCCCAATATAATAAAATGCTTATAATGAACAAAATTTTAAAAATAAAATAATTCTATTTGACAAATAAGCACATTTTTACATAGCAATTCTGATTTACTGAATTTAATCTAGGGTTTGCTTTCATCTATTTTCTTTTTACCTTTCTGGAGTATATATATAAGTTTGGTGTTCTGCCTGGGACTGGAATGCCAGCTTTAGTTAGCTTTATGAAATACTTCTGTACCCGACTGGCAACCTAAGGAAATATGACAATCCTTTTAAAATAATGAGATGACATGCAATACTTGAGTAAATTTAAATGTACATGTATAACTAATGCTAACAATTTAAAACCATCATAAATCTAGAAATAACGTCAAATTGGCACCAAATACATTTTTATTTTAAAATCTAGACAAAAAAAAATAATCTGAGTAAATTTAGATTTGTTTGATCCAAAGCAACACATATATTTTCAACTTGTGAACATCCATGCTTGTAGGATAAAAACATATCTATTAATATATATGGGAATGTGAAGTAAGAACCTACAAGATAACATTTTTATAAAGGAAACAAGGGAATACTAAAGCAATGTTTTAAATCTATTAACAGTCTAACCAAAAAGTACATAAATTAATACACTTAAAAAGCATTCAAAAGTTACTAAGTCTACTATATTTTTACTTTTTAATAACCAAAACAAGATTATCTCAAGTTGTTTCTGAAATCAATATGAAAATATATAATGCTGCAGCCAATATGGAAACAGTATGGAGATTCCTTGGAAAACTGGGAATGGAACCACCATTTGATCCAGCTATCCTACTCCTTAGTCTATACCCAAAGGACTTAAAAACAGCATACTACATGGACACAGCCACATCAATGTTTATAGCAGCACAATTCACAATAGCAGAACTGTGGAACCAACCTAGATCCCATCAGTTGATGAATGGATAAAAAAATGTTGTATATACACCCAATGGAATACTATTAAGCATTAAAAGAGAATAAAATCATGGCATTTGCAGGTAAATGAATGGGTGAAGTTGGAGAATATAATGCTAAGTGAAGTTAACCAATACTTAAAAAAAAAAAAAATGCTGAATGTTTTCTCTGATACAAGGAGGCTGATTCATAATGGGGTTGGGAGAGTATGGGAGGATCAGATGAACTCTAGAGAGAGCAATGGGGGAGAGGGGCTGAGCTGTGGCTCAGCTGTGCCTGGCATGTGTTAGGCACTGGGTTCCATCTTCAGCACCTCATAAACATAAAATAAAATAAAGGCATTGCGTCCATCTACAACTAAAAAAGAAAATTTAAAAAGCGGGAGGAAGGAGAAGAGAGGGGGCACGGGGATAGGGAAGACAATAGAATGAGCTGGACATCATTACCCTAAGTACATGTATAAAATCATGAATGGTGTGACACTACTTTGTATACAACCAGAGATATGAAAAATTGTGCTGTATATGTGTAATATGAATTGTAATGCATCCTGTTGTCATATATAACGAGTAAAACTGTAAAAAAAAAAAAAAAAAAAAAACACTAAAAAAAATAAGCCAGACTTAGGAAAAGTAAAATATATAATGCTAATAACTTTTTTTTAAAACACCATATATGATTGTATTCTACAGACAGAATAATATGGCAGATCTGATGTCAGCTGGATTATTCTTCATAATAAAACTAACAGAAACATGCTGATGATCTGCAGCCATCTCTTCAATTACCTGTTTTGCTGTTCTGTTACCCAGCTCATCTGCAATCTTCTGCCAACGTCGGGATTCTACTTCTTCAGGGGGGTATTTCAGAAGTAGCTGTTCAAGTTTTTTCTAAGCCAAACCCAAGACCAAATTTTTAAAAAAGTAGTAAATTAAAATCAGTGAATTTCTAAATAAATACACTAACATTTCATTTCAAAGTATAATATTCCTTTCCCAACTTTGGGGATTATGCTACTAGAAACTGTCAGAGTAAGAAAAATTTCTAGTTAGAACTGAAGGGTTCCCAGAGAAAATGAGATTAAAGAAAACACCTATGAAAGATCTTATAAAGGTTTTCTATTCACTTCAGTAAAAAAGACAAGACCAGAAAATAAATTAAACAAACTGAGAAATGAGTAAATCCTATCATATAATATGTATACATCTTAGTGATTTCCACTGATTATCTTTTCTTGCTAAAATATGTCAGACTCTCCCTTATAGTTTTAAGAAAAACACATATAAATTCTTCAAATTTAGAATATTAAAAGAAGCTTTTCCCTCTTTTATGTGGTCCTCCTAATTTTATTGAAGATAATGGTATCTTTATTTTTTTTTTCCTACAAGTTTTTTTATAAACTGCCAAACTGATTATAGCTGTGAGGTTAATATGAGACAGAGATGTGTTTCAAACTTTGCCAATAAACAACCCTCATCATATGCCAAAACATAACAGAGCACTCTGGCTTTTGCTTTATCAGCTTCTCCCCACACACACAAATAATAATAATAAAACAACCTTCCTCATATGCCAAAACATAACAAAACACTCTGGCTTTGCTTTATCAGCTTCTCCCCACAACAAAATTTAAAAATGTACTTGGAGCTTTCTCCCTCTTCCAAAGGTACATTACAAAAACATCCACTTTACGGGACTGGGGTTGTGGCTCAGTGGAAAAGCACCTGCCTAGCATGCGTGAGGCACCAGGTTCAATCCTCAGGACCACATAAAAATGGATAAACAAAATGGTGTCCATCTACAACTAAAAAAGAAATTCTTACCAAAAAAAAAAACCACCACACACACACTTTATTTCATCCATTTCTATCTCCCTTTCAAAACCCAGGTTTCTTCCTTAAAAATTATCTCTAAACAAGAATTCGTATATCCTAAAAATCCAAAATTCTTGAAATGTGCAAAAAAGGCATACAAAAATGCCTAAATATTTTAAAATCAATATTTAAAAGGGATGACATTCAATAATACACACTTGACTCATAATACCGATTAATAATGGTAACAGTTTATGGGTTGTTTTAAAACCTACACAGTTTAGAAATATCTATTACCTGTTCTTCAACAGTCCATAACTGGTTAAATGTTTCAGGTTTGGTATCATCACAGAGGCGTCCTCTTATCATCTGTATAATAAAATAAGGCTTTTTTCAAATGGGAAATAACACAGTCAAATAACAAAAATTGTGGGACTTCTTATGAATCCCAAAATAAATCTGGTAAATTTATTTTTTAATAATGTATACCTAAGCTTTACTATTCAAATTCTTATATTTCATTTGGTTTGTTTGTTTGTTTATTTATTACTCTTAGTAATGCTGTCATAAACATGCTAATAATTCCTTTTTTAAAAAAGGAAATGTGGATTCAAAATGTAGCATGTCTAACAGTGAAAAGATCAGGATTGAACTCCCGGTCACATTTCACAATATACACTTTACTAGGCACAATACATGTAAAGACCCACTTAATCCTCACAATACCCATTGTAACATTAACTATATATATATATATATATATATATATATATTTTTTTTTTTTTTTTTAAAGTACTGGGGATTGAATCCAGGAACACTTTACCACTGAGTTACATCTCCAGCTCTTTTTATTTTGAGACTGGGTCTCACTAAGTTGCCGACACTGGCCTCGAACTTGTGATTCCCCTGTCTCAGCCTCCAGAATTCCTGGGATTATAGATATATGCCACCATGCTGACCTTAGTTACATTTAATAAGAATTGCAGCCTAGAGATTTTAACAAAAACAACACCCAAAGTTTAACAGCTAGTAAGTTTAGACACCAATCCAGGTTCTGCTTAACTTCAAGGTGGATATCCTTACCATTATCTTCTTCTAAAACACTGCTTTAACCAGGTAATCCCAGCAACTCAAAAGGCTGAGGCGGGAGGATCACAAGTTAGAGGCCAGTCTCAGGAACTTACTTAGGAAGACCTTGTCTCAAAGTAAAATATAAAAAAGGACTAGGGATCATAGCTCAGTGGTAAAATGCCCCTGGATTCAATTCCTAGTACCCCCCAACCCCGCAAAAAAAAAAAAAAAAAAAAAAAAAAGACTGCCTTAATTCTAGAACACAAACTAGCAAAATATTAAAATATTGTATCCAAAACTCAAATTTTCCTACTTCAATATTTAATATTGCTTACCTGAGGACGACTGTTTGAGCCTTCTGGACCATCACTCAAAGGCAACATAGAGTATGAAAGGGACTCTCCATCCTTCTTAGGGTCTAAAGGACTTTTTGGTCTAGCAGGTAAACCTACTAAAAACAAAACCATGTACAGAATTGTTAAAGCAAGGCATTGCCATATGTTTCTTTAGTTAAATTCTTATCATGTGATTTCTTACCTTTATCAAAAACTAACTTAACTCTCCTAGTATGTCTTTTACGATTTTTAAATTCTCTTTCAAAGTTCCCAAGGCTATTGGTATATTGGTCCCATATAATCTCAGGCAACTGCACAACTCTCTGTGGATATGGAAGCCCTATATCAGCCTGGAAAAAAGATGAAACAAAGAAAAACAAAGGGAAAACCTAAATTTACTTCAAGAAACAATCAAATATACTCAAATTTTCAGATGACCCCACCTTCTAATTACCAGTGAAGCATTTCCATGCACTAACAGGATCCAATGAATAATAAAGCTAGTTAAGATAATATAGCCCAGATATTAAATGCTAAAGATATTAAATGCTAAAATGATGACAAGGAAAAATGAATTTGGCAAAAAATAAGTACTCCTTAAAGACATAGTTCTAAATATCAACCATACAGACATATTGTACCATCATCACTAACACATTTAAACATAAATGCCAAGGCAAAAATGTATCTAAGAATAGAGTATAAAATGTGTTGACCATAACAAATAAAATATGACACACAGAATTAATTTTAAATACAACCCATATTTATGACTTCTTTGTACACAATGAATTATTTTCACAAATTATGACTTTTTTTTTTTGCAGTGCTGAAGAGCAAACCCATGGCCTTGTGCATCCAAATCACATGTTCTATCACTGAGCTAAATCCCAGACCCAAATTATCACACATACCTCTCCCCCATACCCCACCCAGTACTGGGGATTGAACATAGGGGTACTCTATCACTGAGCATCCCTACTTCTTTTTTCACTTAACCACTGAGCAACATCCCCAGCGCTTTTTTGCATTTTATTTAGAGACAAGGTCTCACTGAGTTGCTTAGGACCTTGCTAAGTTGCTAAGGCTAGCTTCGAACTCTCGATTCTTCTGCCTCAGCCACCAGATGGAGCCCCTGGGATTACAGGCATACACCACTGCACTGTAATCTCAGTTGCAAATTTCACTTTTAAAAAGAAAGAATTACAGGGCTGGAGCTGTAGCTCAGTGGCAGAGCACTTTTCTGACAGATACAAGGATTGACAGACACAAGATATATGACAAAGCAAAGATAGTAAAATGTTACTTGTAAAATACAGGTGATGGGTCTAAGTGTGTTAATTATACAAAACTTTCAATTTTTCTATGTGTTTAAAATTTTCTATATTAAAATAAGGGGAAATCATCATAAATTATAAAACTGACAAGCAAAATTCTTATGACACAAAATTCTTAATTTTTATTTTGCTTACAACATATTGCATCATCACCATCAAAAAACTACAGATTATTCTAAGGTCCAACTTTTACAAAATTAGAGGATGGAGTATTTTAAAATAATGATGGTAATATCAAACAAAACTAACAAGTCATATATATTCCCTGCATCCTATATACCAATATATCCCAAGTTTCACTAATTTCACACTGGAAATTTTTAGATGTCCCCAAACTAACAATCATATCAATAACTAACATGGTATACCTAAAGAATACACATGTATAAATACAGAACAATGAAAGACTTAAACCTCTACATCAAATCTAGTGGGGAAATTTCTTCTAAAGAACATAATCTTTCATGTTATTAATGTGTCTGAATTTAAAACACTTCTGAATATCTTTGTAAAAAAATTCTTGTACACTCAGAAAAATGAGAAATTATATCCCATCTGATTCAAATGTATGTCAAGATCATTGTACTGTCACATGTAACTAAAACAAATAAATAAAGAAAAGAAAAAGAAGTATCAAATAATCAAGTGCATACAAATCTAGCATATATGCCTAATATAGCATCTTTTTGCCTACTTAGAAATATAATTAAAATAAGATTAAGGTTAATGTTTTTATTAATATTTACTTTTCTAACATTAATTTGTTATAAAATACCACTATAAGTACAATATCTTTGTTCACCAGCAATCTTGCTATTAACAAGGCAAAATTGATAAACATTTAAGGGGACTCTATTTAACACAGAAAGTATAATACAGCTCTAAAGTCTTAGAAGTTTTAACAAACCAATATATAGATTCCACATCTATTTTGAAATTTAACATTTTTTGAAAGCATGGAAAGAAGGTTTGCCAAGTAAATAATAGAGCTAGAGGGGCTGGAGTTATGGCTCAGCAGAAGAGCGTTCGCCTAGCACATGCAAGGCCCTGGGTTCAATACTCAGCACCACATATAAATAAATAAAATAGGGGCTGGTATTGTGGCTCAGCGGTAGAGTGCTTACCTGGGACATGAAAGGACCGAGGTTCGATCCTCAGCACCACATAAAAATAAATAAATAAAATAAAGATATTGTGTCCAACTACAACTAAAAAATAAATCGTTTTTAAAAATAAATAAATAGGGCTGGGGCTGTGGCTCAGAGGTAGAGTGCCCACCTACATGTGTGAGGCACTGGGTTTGATTCCCCAGCACCACATACAAATAAAATAAAGATATTGTGTCCACTTATAACCAAAAAATAAATATTTAAATAAATAAAACAAAGGTATTGTGTCCAACTACAACTAAAAACTAAATATATATTTTAAAAAATAATAGAGCTAGAAAAATACAAATACTAAGTTAATACATGTAATGAAATGAAGTCCCCAAGGTTGTTGCCCAACATCTGGTAGACAACACTTTTGTAATTTGGTAAGGGGAAGTAACTAGTAAAAGGTACTAAGTCATATTGTACGAAACAAGGTTTTCTTTTTTTCCAAAGTCATTCCATTTTAATCTTTCCACACAATATAATATTATGCCTCTCAAATTTATTGAGCTAGGCTCAGGGCACATTACAAGCTTAGTTGTACAGCATTTGCCTGTAATGCACAAAGCCTTAGATTTGATCCCCAACACAGTGCCAAAAAATAAACTAACTAAATAAAAATTACTAAATAAAAAAATTTTGAGCAATTAGTGGTTCCCTAATGGAAGGTACTTATTATGTTAATGTGCAAAGTCAACACAAACAAAAGCAGTTAATAAATTTTGAAGTATTTTTTCTTTTAGTTTTACTAACTCTGAAGCCCTGAAAGCAGAAAACAGAAAATACTAACATGAGACTACTAACAGAAAGAACTAGAAAAATGAATAAGAAATAGGACAAGCTCCATAAAAGCTCATATCTATTTTCAGTTATGTAAATTTCACTGTGTGTTAAGTAGGTATAGAAGAAGATGGTTCTACCTTCAGTAATATGGTTAATTATAGAAGGGGAGAAAATTAAACTTTTAAAAAAGCAAATACTCATATAGAAGAAAACAAATTTTAAGTAATTGTCAAAAATATCTTAATGAATATTAAGAAATACCAATGTATACCTTCTTCTGGAGTTTTTCCACAAATCCAATAGGATTCTTCAATGCTTCTCTCTGGTGTTTGCCTAAACTTTCAAGGTCTTGGACTGCTTGAGAACGCTGAGCCTCAAGTACAGCAATTGTCTGTAGTAATCTCTGGTAACTACAGAGAAAAACATCTCACTAAAATTTTCAAGTAACAACAATATGTAAAAACTGAGTTCAAGCCATGATCTACTATTAAGGCACACAATCTTTTCAAAGTTACCTGAAAGAGTTTAGTAAAACATATTACTGGGAATAAATGAGGTCTTCCTGAGTTACGTAGTACCTAGTCAGAAAACATCAGTTAGAGAAAGCAAAGCCTTCTTCCCCCATCAGTAGCTTTTAATTCTTGAATCTTGAACACGTACAAAAAAATAAGAAAGTATTCTGACTTTTCAACAATCAGAGTGGTTAAGAAACTGCTAAATAAAAATCATAAAATTTCATCTAGGAAGGATCACCAAATCCAGCTACTTTGTTGTACTCTGTTGGAATATGGGATCTCAAGGCACATTTTCTTAGCCAGAGTCACAGGATAGTGTCACATAATTCAGACATGATCTCAAGTCTCATGGTTCTCACTTACTCTTTCTACTATACCCCTCCCTCATTTTAAAGATTTACTTTTCTATCAACAATTAGCACTTTTTCCCCCTTAGCATTTATGATAAAGACAAATATCTTTAAGTTAATGGGCATTTATAGAGAAGTCATTATTTTTACTTCTCTCCCTGCAAAGTTTTATTTAGCACAGCTAAAATAGTATTTTGCCTATATAAATCTATCACTTGTCACTATCCTGAAATCTCACTCTAGTTCATATATACTAATTAATTCATTCTCATTCATAGTCTTTCAGCATAAGTTGTACTACCCTTCTGACTAATGTCTAATTTCGCATGTCAATATACATTTAGAAACATATTAACACAAAATCCCTGAATATCCAAACACATTTTATAAAAAGCATCAAGAAAAAGTCACTCCAAGTTCACTTTAAAATAAACAATTAAGTCCTTAAAATATGGCAAAGCTTTTTCTTTATGGCGTCAAATGCATCTTGTTTCCCATTAGACTGTATGCTCCATAATGGCAAACTCGTCTGTTCTGTTCACCATTTTGTTTAGCCAAGTATAACATACTTCCCAGCATCTAGATGCTCATGAGTATTTATTGAATGAAGAAATGAATGGACTGATACTTTGTGCAATCAAATTTTGCTTACATCTTATAAAATCAAAAGTAAACTGAATCTTAAATTCAGAAGTCAGCAAATGGACAGAAATATCAAAGGTAAAACAATACAACTTTGAGGTTCAGAGCCATAATTGAACTGCAACATAATATTCTCTTTAAAAAAAACTTTCTTATTCCCCTGCGTAAAACTCATCTTATTCTTCAAGTCTTTGTTAACTAATCTCAATACAATGTTTAATCATTAACGTAAAACTGCTAACACTGAAGGGTAAGCTTCCTCTGGGAAGGTTAGGGCTCTTCTAAATTACTCCTAGATAAGTTATAGAAGTTAAGACTAAACTCATTAAGGCTCCTTTTTAAAAAATTTATTAATTTTTTGGATTTCAAGTCTATTTAAAATGAGTGGTATCAATAGCATTAAATTCAAAAGCTTTTTTCATATAGTATTAGAAAGCAACCCAGAAAATGAGAACTGGAGCTAAGCTTCCTTTTTTGCTTTGGGAAGTATGAAGTACATACAAACCCAGCCTCCATGGCTGGTTGTACTCCATCAGCTCCCCCAAGGTTCAATCTCAGGGCAATGGTATTGAGCTGAGTACCAGAAGCTATCCTCTCTACAACACTCTATTAAGCAGCTCATCTAGAACTCCTATTCCACTAGATGGATACAAAGAAGACCCATCATGGTGTGTCTACCCCTGTTTAAAAGAGGAGTTGTAGTTTCATATCACTTTTTAAAAAGTTCTGAGCTTATTAAGTTTTCAGCAAATTTCAATAGGGAAAGTAATAATGAATGAGGCACAAGAAAGAATGGAATTGTAAAAAAAAAAAAAAAGAGCTAATATTTAAAAAGAAGTTAGTTACAAAGACAGCTGTCCTTTGTTATGTTTAGAGCAAACTGACACTGGGAAGAAAGGCCTATAATTGATGTCAATAAATTATAACAACTTTAATGTATGTAAATTACTCCACAATAAATCTGACTTTGAAAAACATTCACATATGGAAAGAATCATAAAAAACAGGAATGACATCTAGAAAACAAGTTAAAAACAGTCTATTTTCAATTCTCTCCCTCCACCCACTCCACTCTCAAAACTACAGAAGTTGATCCAGTCACAGATCCATGGCAAGACTTGTTCATTAATTCAACAATTACTAAGAAAACAAGGTACTATCCTAAAAGTTATCTAATTACTAAGATAAATCAGGCATGGAACTTAGGTATAACAAAAGAGCTATAATTACACCAAAGAAGAAGCAAAGGAATTGGATGGGAATTTTAATGGGCCAGGATTGGTCATATTAAGAAACATGTACTGGAGGATCTATCACACTAGTACATCTCTTTTTGTGTAGCTGTTCAAAACTCTCTGAATTAAAAATTTAAAAACAAAACAACTCTGGCCCAAATTAACAAGGGAATACTGTATGCCTCAAAACTATACAACACAACTGCCAATGTATTCAGTTTGCTCTGAGACAAAGACTAATAGGTTCATAAATAGACAAAGGTGGATAAGATACTATGTAAGAAGAAATAGAAGAAACTATGTAAGAAGAAATAGCTGGGGATACAGCTCAGTTGGTAGAGTGCTTGCCTCCCATGCTCAAGGTCCTGGGCTCAATCCCCAGCACCACAAAATAATAAGTAAATAAATAAAGTTAACAAATATATATATGAAATAGCAACAGTGGCTGGGCACTATAATTTCAGGTGGCATTCATCCATAATCTCAGACACTAGGGAGGTTAAGGCAGAAGGATCGAGAGTTTGGGGTCAGCCTTAGCAATTTGGTGAGTCCCTCAGAAATTTATTAAGACCCAGTCTCAGATAAAAAATAAATAAAAAAGGTTAAATACACGGCTCAGTGGTAAAGTGCCGCTGGTTCAATTCCCAGTACAAAAAAAGAGAAAGAAATAGCAATAGTGCCTAACATTTACTGAACATTTACGGTATACACTATATGCTAGACATTTTCTTATCTTAAGTCTCAAACTTTTGAGATGGTTATTATTATCCTTATTCTAAAGATAAGCACTCATTAAGTAACTTGACAAGATCATACCAGCTATTTAGGGTGGAGCTGTGGTGGATGAGGGCAATGATTAAAGACTAAGAATATTTAGTGAAAAAATGAAAACTTCCAGAACAATATTATTTCAAGTTTTATTTAATGAACAGCTATGAAGAAAAGGAAATAGTTTTGTCTTATAAGGACAAAGGGTCAAACCAGGAGCAAACTGTGATAAAGGCACAATACAAATAAAAACCTTGTCTCAGTCAAAACCAATAAAAGATAGCAGGATAAGCACCCAATCACCAAAGATGTTCCTCCAGATATTTAAAGGAAATTTGAAAACATTAAAAATCTGAAAACTCTTCTATGTCAATAAAACATGCTACTTTCACTTATGCTATTCACTTAATCAAGTAAGAAAATAACTTAAAAAATTCTATATGCTTTTGCACAGATGCAAATACAATTATAACATTCCCATAAGGTCAACTTTGCATTAAAATGATACATCATCTATTTCTAAAGCTGAATCTCTGAATCTTACACAATACTAAGGATATTGAGCTTATCTGTGGCAAAGTGTTTACTTTTGTTTCACTGCCTTCAACATGGACATTAGTTTTTATACTGTAGAATTATATTTGGCTAAAATACAAATGCCCTTATAAATATATCTATGCTATTTTCACTACTTTTCAGTATCTAAGTCTGCTTGAGTTTTTATTTATTTCTGTGATTATAAAAACATTTATATATTAAAAAAATATAGGTAAAAATCCTGATATCTGGGCCTGGGGTTGTGGCTCAGTGGTAGAGTGCTTGCCTCATATGTGTGAGGCACTAGGTTCAATTCTCAGCACTGCATAAAAATAAATGAATAAAATAAAGGTCCATCAACAACTAAAAAAAAATTTTTTTTAAATCCTGATATCTGAGACTATCAAGGAATTAGTAACTTGAAGTTAATTTTATTGTCTAATATCTAGGAAGTAATATTATATACACAGCAATCAATAAGGCAAGGGAGAAGGAGGAGGGTAGGATAAAGTGAAAGGGGAAAGGACAACGGAAAATTTTCAACTGCTTCATAATCTTTTTCAAAGAATCAATTCCCATTTCTATGGTAGAAATAAATCTTAGTATTATAGAGGCAATTGTAATTCTAAAAGACAAATGAAACATTTTTTAAAATCAAAATTAGAAACATACGGCCAAAAAAATTGATAGAATTCTTCAAAAGTCATTAAATCATGTCATTAAATACAAAAAGACAGAAGTCTATCTATATGTATAATGGACAGAGTCAAGTAGCTGCAACAGAAACCATACTTATTTAATTTACAAAGGCTAAAATATTTACTATATGGCCCTTTAAGTAAAGGTTTTTTAACCCTTGTTCTACAACATCTATAAAAGGTATGACAAGGAAATGTAATGCACAATTTTGGATTAGTTTCTACAAGAGGAAAAATAGTTATATAATATTTATGGAGATAAATAAAAAAAATTTAAAGAAAGATTGTGGATGAAACCATTTTATTGTACCAATGTTAAATTGCTGAAGTACGATAATGATATTTAAACATACTAAAATGTAAGAGCATTAAGTCTACAAGAGCCAGGGTGCAGCTCAGTGGCAGAGCATTTGCCTTGCATATGTGAGGCTTGGGTTCAATTCTTACACACACACACACACACACACACACACACAGAGGCTGCAGTCATTACTTTTTTCCCTCCCTGTGGTACATGCCAGGAAATGCCATAGATCTGCACCCCAGCTCCTCCCCTGCATTTCAAAAACATTTTAGACAAGTAGCCCAAGCTAGCTTTGAACTTGCAATCCTCATGCCTCAGCCTCCCAAGTAGTCTACAACCTATTTTTATGAGGCTTGACAAC